AGATCAAACAGATTCATAATTCCTGATTCTGATGTGTTTCATCTCCATCAGATTCCCATCAGCTCACTCTGGATCTGAACACAGTGAATAAACGCCTCCAACTGTCTGAGATCAACAGAGTGATTACTAACACTGACACAGATCAGCCGTATCCTGATCATCCAGACAGATTTGATGAGTATCGTCAGGGGTTGTGTAGAGAGAGTGTGTGTGGACGCTGTTACTGGGAGATTGAGTGGAGTGGAGATTATGTGTTTATATCAGTGTCATATAAGAGCATCAGCAGGAAGGGACGGAGTCATGAATGTGCCTTTGGAAATAATAATAAGTCCTGGTGTTTGTCCTGCTTTCCCTCCAGTTACTCATTCTGGCACAATAACATACAGACTCGTCTCTCTGTGAAGTCCATCAGCAGTAGAATAGGAGTGTTTGTGGATCACAGTGCAGGAACTCTGTCCTTCTACAGCGTCTCTGACACAATGAGCCTCATCCACACAGTCCAGACCACATTCACTCAGCCGCTCTATCCTGGGTTTTGGGTTGATTCTAAATCATCAGTGAAACTGTGTTGATGAATCTGAATCAGAATAGACTGATAAGGGATTCTACCCATAATGCTTTGAGCTGCATGATAAATCAGTAACAGTGAGAAGTTATAGAGTCTCTTCTTTTCCCTTCATGTTTGAGAAAAGGGTTTAGCGAGTTCTAATTATTTGGGGGACTAGCCCCCCTCAATGTCTACGGTGGTTATTGCCCTGATCAGACATGAAAATATGTTGTTGCACTATCGTGCAGTCTATAATGATATGACAGGTAGTTAGCAAATATTAGCGATTTTTTCCAAACATTTCTTTGAGTAACATGACCATAAATATGAACTCACGATTGAATGTAACATAAAACAAATAATTGCTTTTCGTTAAAATCTTTATTAATGCCAAAAATGCTTACATTTATGTGTCTTTTTGTTCGCTCGGGCAGCCATGTTGCCGCTGAAGCCGGTTTACGCTGAGATAATTCATACCCCTTCATTTGAAGTGTGGTCCCGAAAAATCTTCGTTTGAAGGGCTGTCTGGCCCTTCCCCTTACCCCTACCCCTCCAACCAAAAGAGAATTGAGACACCCCTGCCCTTCACATGAACGCGCGAAACGGAGGGGTAGGGCAAAGGGGAAGGGCTAAGGGGTAGAATTGGGATTGGGCCTAATACTGCAGCTGAACTTCTGTCAGTGAAATAACATGTCAGAATGAATGTGTGTAATAAATCCTCATATAGACAGTAAGATAAGTGTGTGTGAGTCCTGCTGAGTGACCATGTGTTTCTGTGTTTTCCTCATTTAGTTTTTAGGTTTTCTTGATTGCTAACACAATTCTTGAACTAACTTACCGTTTTCTCACAACACAATCTTCAAACCAACTCGTACAAACCTCAAAATTTCAGATCAAATTTATTTTTCTTTTGTCAGAATGAAAATTTGGCCTCAAATGACACACAAACCTGACAAATACACAGACTACTTCACTGCCTAGAGAACACTAGTGAGCTCAATTCAGAACGCTGTTACAGAAAATCTGCTTTTGGGGATCAGGAATCATTTTGCATTTAAGTTATTACAGTATACAGCATAAACAGAGGGGTGCAGATACAGTGAAATTTAGCAATAAACTTTAAGAAAAGTTGACTTTCATTACATTACAAAAAACTAAACGAATAAATAAATTCAGCATCCATCTGTAAATGTGTTAAAAGTTTTGATGAATGTGTCTTTATTACCAGAACTGAATGAATGGTTTGGGAAATTGGGCCAAATTAATCAGTTTATTTTTACAAACGCCAGCTGGAGTGCCCACGAGCTCTGCTAGAGGGCACTCCATCCCATACACTTTGCCATTCACCTCGGACTCCATTTCCCATAATCCTTTGCCTGAACTCATCAGATCTCATCATTAGTTCACAGCTGTCTCATATTAGGAGGACTATAAATGGTGGATTTCAAACGGGATATATTGCCCTCCGAAGGGCACTTTGGAGTGAAAACAATTATGGCCACCATATTGAAGGGTCATTCCAAACCGAAATGCTCAAAACGGTTCACTTCAAAGGGCCCATCGGAATGAAGGTTTCGAAGGGTACAACTGATGGACACTTCGGGCTCCCATGAGCCTTTGCGCAGATTCTTTGCATGATGACGGCGCCTCCGTGTGGGCACGTGATGATGATGAAGAAGAGCACTTCAAGAAACAGTTGTTTGGTCCCCTACACCCTTCAACCCTTCGAAGCTCTCACTTCGGAGGGTAAAGCCTTTGAAGGGATTAGGGCGTAGGGATGAGCCCTTCCGAACGGAACGCAGGGAAAGATTGCACTCACACACAAAAGCTGTGTCCCAAAGTTAAGTGCACACACTTCGAAGGGCACAGACTTCAAAAGACCACGCCTCCGAAGTGCATGAAGGACCCTCCGCCTTCACAGGATTTCCTAATTGCTACACCAGTGGTTTCCGATTAGCGCTCTGTCGCATAGCGGTGCGAGAGGAGCGCAGACGAGAGGACAATCCTGCCCGGACAGGTGGAGCCAGAATTGCTCATTTTTGTTTTATTGGCTTGGAGCTTACTTGAATAATGTAATGATACGTATGAAAAACTGCAAAATACACACACACACAGCAGTTCAAATGCTGACTGATATCTTACAAAGGAGCAATTTTATATAGTTTATTGTCTTGACCATGGTGATCATATGTAGACAGGTTAGCAAAAATAAAACCGTGAATAAAAAAATAGAGCATTGTAGAGCTCAATGTTCAGCGGCAGCTGTCACAGCTGAACAGTGCTCTGTTTGACCGGTCCGAGTCCTTCAGATGCAGCCTCTGATCTAGTTAGCAACAATGTGTTAATATTCTGACAAAATGTTGATACTTTGATTTTCAAAATGATCAGAGGTGGACTGTAAGGAAGTACATTCGTTAAGTATTCTCGAACAAATATGAAGTACTAAGTTTTCTTTTTTTCTCACAGACAGCAACACTAATAATATGGTATTTTACAACATAATGCATTGTTGTAGATTAAACTACCCAACAGTATATTTACTAGGCAACTTTAAATTTAATTACCTTGAACATATTCAGAAGTCAAATGCAACATACACAGTAGTGCAGCAGTAAAATTAATGCAAAATCATCCTGACTAATTCTTTTTTCAGAACAATACTGTATACCTTTACTTTTACTCTCAATACCTTAAGTATATTAGAGTATGCAAGATAATAATTTTACTTAAAGGATAGTTCACCCAAAAATGAAATTTCTGTAATCATTTACTCACCCTCAAGTTAGGTTTGGAATTTTCATTTTTGGGTGAACTATACCTTTAGCTAAGGTTTTACATATGACTGGTAGTTTCCCCAATGTGGTATTAGTAGTTACTAAAAGTAGTTCACTAAAGTATCTCAATATTTCTTCTACTAATTACTTTGTCATAGCTCTAAACAGTTTCTCTTTTCCTTCTTTCCCTAAATCAGAGCAGACCCCTGTACTGCAGGATAAAGCTGAATGTGCCAGCGCTGGACAGGTTTTTAATGGTTTTCGGCTGAGCTGGGAGGCCCTGACAGTGCTGCTGGATCTTCTGAGAAGTGAATGCCAACAGTGATGGGATGCCACAATCCAGACCCTGGTGTTTCTCTTCTGTCTACCAGTGGTACATCATACAGAGTGGTCTCCAGAGTGTTTGACATGCCTCGTTCCACTGTCACCGCATTGTCCTCCGAGTCTCTGAGGAGGTGCTGGCCATTCACCAAGAGATTCACCTCCTGAAGACCCCAGAACACATGGAGGCAGGGCTGGGCTCAAAACTGATGTTGTTTTTCTGATGTTAAACCTAAGCTATGTTGTAAATAGTTGTAAAAAGTACTTTCAGTAATGTATAGAACCATTTGTTTTAATGTGTAAAAAAAATATATATTTACAGGACAAAAAAAAAATGTATAGAAGAATGTTTTGTGAAAAAATTATAAGCTGCATTAAAAAAATTAACAATGTACATAATTACTTCTCTTTTATTTACACATGTGAATATGCAAAACAAAAATACAAAATGTGCAGAAAGTACTCAGGCTCATTTACAAATAAATTACACTACAAAAATGTATGCAATCCAATCCGTATCATTCGATCATTCGTTTTTTGATTTAATATTGAAAGTAGAAAAATTAGAAAACGGCTCTTTCTTTTTTTTTTCCTTTTTTTTCGAAGAATGAGAATTCAGCTTAAATTTTCGTTTTTATCTCAGGGGTAGAAAAATATATAAACAGCTTGAATATTGGATTTCTACACATGGGCGGGAATTAAACGCCCCTTTCTGCTGATTGGTCAGCCGAAGATCAAACCGTGCCGTCATCAGTTCTTCTGCAGTATCACGCAGTAGAATAATAGTCCTCCGCTGCTGCAGTTGTATGGATTCTTAACACATTTATTGCAACTACATTTCATCTTTTTTTCATCAAACAAACAGGCTAATGAATAGCTCGACACAACTCATACCGGGCAGAGTCTAGACAGGGCTTTCTGTGTAGATATAAATTCTATTCTTTGCATCAGCTGGGCATGGCAGGGTATGATATGACAGCTGTCTTAGCCTACCCTGCTCACCCAGTAAGTCTGTTTGTTTAATTAATTAATTTGTTTCAAAATAAATATTTTAAACACTAAGACAAAAAGGAAGGAATAATAAATTGGCTTGGGTATATATAGGTCTATAATGGTCATGCAAGAACTGTCATTCTGACTGACAACCGGAGAACACCAGATATTAAATAGCCTACTGTTAAAGTTATATAATGTAGTCTTGTGTTTTATTAAAATTGATTATAATTGATATCTCAAAGGATATGCACTTGTGCCCGGCGTGAGCTGCTGCGCACTTGCACTGCAACGCAAGATTTTCATAAAATATAATAGCTTGCCATTTCAGTTTGTTTCTCACCAAACCCTGAGTATACCTTCAGAATGCTTGGAATATATGCCACGAGATGCATAGGATTATTTTACGACAGATATGCATCCGCTTAAAGACAAAAAAAAAAACTAAAGTCACCATTCTCTGCCATTAAATTGGCAAGTGCGAGCAGGACATGTTTGTGTTATTAAGTAATAAGCCTTTAGAGCAACATTAAGGTCACTCTAGTTCACACAGTTCCAATAAATTGCGATGGCTTAAATAAACTCAAGCAGACAGACGCGACTACAGTCAAGCGCATAAGTGCAGTTTAAATTAATATTGAGTACTGATTGATGTTCACTTGGATTCTTTCCCCATCGAGCGGAAATAACTTAATACTCTGTCATTTATAGTCGTAAGATAAAATGTATATTTCTATTTGTGTAACTTTACGTTCAAAATAACTACAAAATGTAGTTTGAAAAATAAAGAGAACAAATGAATTAAAAAAGCGTCAACATGAAACGGTTTGGGATTCGTTTCAATGATTGAGATTCAAATCATTCTTTTGAGAGACAATAGCTTTATACACGGTGCACTTTCAGATTTAAACCTTTGCACAATGTTTTCATTCACCTAGAGCTGTGTTACAAAGTAATTTTCAAAAATCCATAATAGGGGCACTTTAAAGTGTTTTCCAACAGGTGTCAGAAATCGTCCACTAAGGCATGGCACATTTTCCATTATATTATCTCTATGAATACAATTTTATTTTATTTTTTTATAAAGGTAATTTTTCATAGGCCTATAATGTTTCCATTTGATATAAAATATAAAAAAATATGAAATATTTTGAGAAAACATAAATAATTTCAAACAAGAAGAGCTAAGTTGGCACTCCACAGCTCCAAAAATAGGAAAATAAATTCTTTATGTTCTCACCACAGGTAAAAAGAAAAAAAAATACTGTAAATAAGAATATACAGGTGTGTCAACACTGACTGCAGTACACTGTGTTTTATGCCAACTGGCATATGGTGTGCTATTGTGCTAATACTATTGGCTAAACTGGCAGTGGGCGGAGTCACACAGACCAAAACAAAAACAGACATGTTGGCACAGAAGGCACATTTCAAAGCAGAATAACTGGCTGTTGGATTGTTTTTCAGAAAAAAACATGAATGTGAACTTGGCATCTTTCCTACATATCTGCCAATGTATTATGGTAGTTTTATGCTTTAGTAAAGTTAAAAAAAAATTACATACAGCATATCACATCACAGCTGATGATTGCTGTCGTTTGTCACACTGCAATGAAAAGTGAAGTCGAAAGCACAGAAATAAACAGGATAATAAAAGTGTTAATCAAAGTGAATGTGGTGTATTGGGATAATGTGTATTTGTAATGACTTGATTTATGTCTGGAATTTCATTGGTTCCTGACTTTAAGAGCAGCCAGTATTTAAGTCATGTGATATGTTGCTGTGAATGATGTATGTATTTACCGGAGTAAAGCGTGCTTGATGGCATTTGCTGGTGGTTTGCCTCGTTAATATATAATATAAACTGGCGACAAGGATAAGTTATGTGAAGGAACATGGCACAAATCGGAAGACTGGATGAGTATAAATCAGAAAATGAATTCTGGTCTGCATATATTGAGCTAGTGGAACTGTTTATGACTGCTAATGATGATACGAAGCAAGTAGCGACGTTGCTTATTGCTATGGGAGCTTCCACTTATGGATTGTTACGGAATTTGGTTCAACCTCAAAAACCAAAGGATAAATCAATTAGAGAAATTGTTAGTATCCTACATGCCCATTTTGAAACAAAGCCATTGATAATAGCTGAACGCTTCTGATTTCAGCATTGTGTACAAAAGCCCCATGAAACTGTGTCCCAGGATGTTTGGATGAAGCTTTACGTGATCGCGTTGTTAGCAGAATTCAAAGTGAAGCATGCCAATGAAGACTGCTTTCGGAGGACGCACTCACTTTTGCACGAGCATTTGAAATTGCTCTTAGCATGGAAACAGCTGATTGGGACACTCAACAGGAATGCTCAGGAATGTTATTTTAAAAATGCTAAATGCCATCATTGCGGAAAGACCGGCCATATAAAAAAGGCATGCAGAGTAAAAGGGGAGTCGCATGTGAATAAATCTGCTGAGCAACAGAATAAGCACAAAGTTACAGCCTATATGTGTGCTGAAGAGCCAGAATAGGAAATGCTCCCTCTGTTAAGTGACACTGAGAAACAGACGTTTCGAGTGAATTTTACTGTAGATCAGCAGGATTTATTGATGGAAGTTGACAGAGGAGCTGCTGTGAGTATTATTTCACATCCAATGTACAAGCAGTTATTCGCCCATTTGTCACTGGAGGGAGCTCGAGTAAAGTTAAAAACTTACACAGGTGAAAACATTCCAGTTTTGGGCCAATTCACAGTTACTGTGCAATACGAAGATCAAGTAAATGAGTTACCATTAATTGTAGTGGAAGGGAATGGACCAAATTTGTGTGGTAGAAATTGGCTCCAGAAAATTAAGTTGAATTGGAAAGAAATTCGATATGTGAATCAAACTAAACAACCCGGGTCTATCCAGGAAGTGCTTGAGAAGTATTGTGGAGTTTTTAAGAATGAATTGGCCACCCTAAAGGATATTAAAGCCACCATTTCAGTGAAATCAGATGTTCTGCTTAAATTTTACAAGAGTCGTCCACTACCTTTTGCCATGAAAGAATGTGTGGAGAAGGAAATTGATCGATTGGAGAAAGCAAATATTATATCTCCTGAAACGTACAGTGAGTGGGCTGCTCCAGTGGTCCCTGTGAATAAAAAAGATTCAACAATTAGTTTATGTGGAGACTATAAGGTCATTGTTAATCAAGTTGCCAACACCGAAGATATCCTTGACCTTGAAGAAGTCTTATCCACTCTAAGTGGAGGAAAGGTGCCCTCTTGATAAAAACAGCATATGCTGGTTAGGTAGGTTTTGAAGAATGGATGCTGGTCATGAGCAGGTTTAAGCTGGCCATGTGCTGGTCATAAATTGGTTTAAACTGGCCATGTGCTGGTCCTCAGCAGGTTTAAGCTGGTCATGTGCTGGTCATGCGCAGGTTTAAGTTGGTCATGTGCTGGTTATAAATTGGTTTAAGCTGGCCATGTGCTGGTCATGAGCTGGTTTAAGCTGGTCATGTGCTGGTCATGAGCTGGTTTAAGCTGTTCATGTGCTGGTCATAAGCTGGTTTAAGCTGGCCATGTGCTGGTCCTTAGCAGGAGCTAGTTGCTTTTAGGACCAGCACATGATCAGCTAAGGACCAGCTTAAACCAGCTCAAACCAGCATCCATGCTTCAAAACCTACCTAACCAGCATATGCTGTTTTTTTCAACAGGGTGTTCTCCAAGATCGATTTAGCTCAAGCATATCAGCAGGTCTTGCTGGATGATGACTCACAGAAATATACAACAATTAATACACACAAGGGACTCTATGTCTATAATCGTCTGGCATTTGGCATTACTTCAGCCCCTTCTATTTTCCAACGGATTATGGAAAATTTGATGAAAGACCTGAAAGTTGTTGTATATTTGGATGATTGCTAATCGTTGGTAAAGATGAGCAAGAAAATCTAGCAACCCTCTGTCAAGTTCTATAGCGTCTACAAGACTCAGGATTAAGAGTAAAAAAATTTAAGTGTGTGTGGGGGCAGACACGAATTGAATATTTGGGTCATGTGATAGATTGAAGAGGAGTGTATCCGACAAAGGACAAGGTGAGGGCTATTCAGGATGCACCAGCACCTTCAAATGTGAAAGAACTGTGAGCCTTTTTAGGCTTGGTAAATTGTTATGGACGCTTTGTACCACACCAGAGCACTGAGCTTGCACCACAGTATCGACTCTTGAAAGAGCCAGTGGTTTGGCAGTGGGGAAAAAAAGAACAAGATGCCTTCAATAAGTGCAAATAACTGTTGACCAGTGACAAAGTGTTAGTACACTATGATCCACAGTTAACTTTAACCTTGGCATGTGATGCTTTGGCTTACGGAATTGGCGCAGTGTTGCAGCATATGATGCAAATGCTTCCCGTACCTTGTCTCCTGCTGAAAAGAAATATTCACAGATTGAGAAAGAAGCATTGAGCGTCATTTATGGAGTTAAGAAATTTCATCAATATCTGTGGGGAAGATCATTTAATTTGATGACTGAACACAGACCTATAGTGACTCTGTTTGGGGAACATAAGCACTTCCCAATGATGGCTGCAGCTCGCATTCAGCAGTGGGTTATTATTTTGTCAGCCTATGATTACTGCATTTGTTAACGTAAGGCAGAAAATCATGGGAATGCTGATGGCTTGTCAAGAATTCCCTTACTCGAAATCACTGATGTGGGCACAGAAGCCATTTCAGCACATATAAACTTTTTTTCTGACTAATCATCTACGAGAGGCTCCTCTTAATGCATTAAAGATTGCCAGAGTGACTTAAACAGACCTAAAGTTCTAAAGTTTTCCGGTATGTAATGGAAGGTTGGCCAAGTAAAGTGTCAGCAGATTTGAAAGTGTTTCATGCTCAAAGAGACGAATTATCAGTGGAACTGGGGTGCATGTTATGGGGCATGCGAGTGATTGTACCATTCAAATTTCAGAAATCAGTGTTGCATGAAATTCACTTCGGACAACCTGGCATTGTTAAAATGAAAGCCCTGGTGTGTAAATATGTGTGAGCATGAAAAAACTGAAGAATGAACAAATGTGCATTGATGATAAAATGCACATTTGTTTCTATTGCGCTTATATTGTACCACCCCAAATTGTACCACAGGTCAGTCAGTCACCATCTGACCTATTCCTGAAGAGACATGTCCGCACCAGGTTGGATTTCCTAAAACCAAACATTCGTGAAGCTGTTCGCAGGAAACAATATTTGAACAAAATGTTGATGTGGTGTATATGGATAATGTGTATTTGTAATTATTGATTTATGTCTGGCATTGCATTGGTTCCTGATTTTAAGAGCAGCCAGTATTTAAGTCATATGATGTGTTGCTGTGAATGATGTATGTATTTACCGGAGTAAAGCGTGCTTGATGGCATTTGCTGGTGGTTTGCCTCATTAATATGTAATAGTGAATAAGTCAAGCGATTTTTTACGTAATAACGTAAAAACTTTTCTCTTAAATGAACGTAACAGTTCAGTGAAAATCTTATTTGTTTCATTATATTAAATGAAGAAAAAACTGCTCTTGACTGAATAACTGTAGTAGCTTTAATATGGATCTGAGTATTGAATTCATACACTGAAGTGTTTTATTTTACATTGATTTGATTTCTGTAGTATTCTGAATACTAGATCAAGCTTAAACTTAAAGCATTCTATATTTCATATACATGTAAGTGGCTTTTTTCTTGTTATTTTTAATAACAAAACTTGTTATTTAAAGTTATATTAAAATTGTGTGTCAGAATTGGACAAGATACCATTTTAAAGACACAAATCAGATTTCCCCCCCCCCGTCACGATTGTCTAGTAACATAAAATGATAAATGTGTTAATAAATTATATGAAATTGAAAATGAAATTGATAAATGATTAAAAAAAAATACGCTTCACATTTTTTTTATAGGATTGTTCATTACAATAAAAGGAGACAAAAAGCATTATGGTAACTAACTAAAACCATCATATTCTTGCTTTGATTTCAGTGTTTAGTTTCCAAAAGTGATTTATTAACTGTTAGAGGAAGAGGAAGAGGCCAAGGTAGAGAAAGAGGGAGAGGAAGATGAAGAGGAAGAGGGAGAGGGAGAGGGAGAGGAAGACCTGAATCTTCTTCACAGGATCATGTGTTTTTCTGTGTCTGTTGTTGATGTGTTTGAACACGCTGCAGGTTCTTCAGGTATTCCAGTGATGTCTGCAGCTCGTTTACGATTTCTCCAGATCACTCGCGTGTTTTCACGCATGCAGCAGTTGAAGCTGCAGATGTTTTGCTCCAGAGATCATGTGTGTGTGTGTGTGTATGTGAGAGAGAGTGTGTGTGTGTGTGTGTGTGTGTGTGTGTGTGAGAGAGAGAGAGAGTGTGTGTGTGTGTGTGTGTGTGTGTGTGAGAGAGAGAGAGAGAGAGTGTGTGTGTGTGTGAGTGTGTGTGTTTAGTTTGTGCCGCCTATCCGCACCACCCAAACGCTGGCGATAGCACAGTTGACCTCAGGTCAGCGCTGTCAGTCACGGCTGTAATGTGTGTACAGCGGGTTCACGGCCGGTTTTCTTGGTCCTCAGGAAGTCTGGTCAGGTTGCAGGCTCTTCCTGCGACTGTGTTCGGTACAATGAGCCGCCCTAAATGTTCCATGTTTTCTGCGAGCCAGTCAGATTTAGAGACTGCTATCTGGCACAGCAGTAGATGAAATAAAAGCCATTCGTCTCAGAGATACAGCGTCCTTTTCTGCAGCTGCGAGAGCTCATAATAACTCCCTTATATAAAACAGATCACAGTCACTGTGTTCAGCTGACAGTAAACAGTGTGTCAGTTCAGATGCTCGAGAGACATTTAAAAACATATGAATGTTTCTGAAATCATGCTGATTTGTGTTCTTGTGAATTCTTGCAAAGTTTTTCATTAACTGAACTTAAATGTTTTAATTAATATTTCAACATTTTAATGACACATTCACGTGTTCAGGGTTGCTGATGTCAGTTAATGGTCATGACATGCATGTAAACAAATAAAGTACTTACAGTGGGGCAAAAAAGTATTTAGTCAGCCACCAATTGTGCAAGTTCTCCCACTTAAAAAGATGAGAGAGGCCTGTAATTTTCATCATAGGTATACCTCAACTATGAGAGACAAAAATCCAGAAAATCACATTGTAGGATTTTTAAAGAATTTATTTGCAAATTATGGTGGAAAATAAGTATTTGGTCAATAACAAAATTTCATCTCAATACTTTGTTATATACCCTTTGTTGGCAATGACAGAGGTCAAACGTTTTCTGTAAGTCTTCACAAGGTTTTCACACACTGTTGCTGGTATTTTGGCCCATTCCTCCATGCAGATCTCCTCTAGAGCAGTAATGTTTTGGGGCTGTCGCTGGGCAACACGGATTTTCAACTCCCTCCAAAGATTTTCTATGGGGTTGAGATCTGGAGACTGGCTAGGCCACTCCAGGACCTTGAAATGCTTCTTACGAAGCCACTCCTTCGTTGCCCGGGCGGTGTGTTTTGGATCATTGTCATGCTGAAAGACCCAGCCACGTTTCATCTTCAGTGCCCTTGCTGATGGAAGGAGGTTTTCACTCAATCTCACGATACATGGCCCCATTCATTCTTTCGTTTACATGGATCAGTCGTCCTGGTCCCTTTGCAGAAAAACAGCCCCAAAGCATGATGTTTCCACCCCCATGCTTCACAGTAGGTATGGTGTTCTTTGGATGCAACTCAGCATTCTTTCTCCTCCAAACACGTCAAGTTGAGTTTTTACCAAAAAGTTCTATTTTGGTTTCATCTGACCATATGACATTCTCCCAATCCTCTTCTGGATCATCCAAATGCTCTCTAGCAAACTTCAGACGGGCCTGGACATGTACTGGCTTAAGCAGGGGGACACGTCTGGCACTGCAGGATTTGAGTCCCTGGCGGTGCAGTGTGTTACTGATGGTAGCCTTTGTTACTTTGGTCCCAGCTCTCTGCAGGTCATTCACTAGGTCCCCCCGTGTGGTTGTGGGATTTTTGCTCACAGTTCTTGTGATCATTTTGACCTCACGGGGTGAGATCTTGCGTGGAGCTCCAGATCGAGGGAGATTATCAGTGGTCTTGTGTGTCTTCCATTTTCTAATAATTGCTCCCACAGTTGATTTCTTCACACCAAGCTGCTTACCTATTGCAGATTCAGTCTTCCCAGCCTGGTGCAGGTCTACAATTTTGTTTCTGGTGTCCTTTGACAGCTCTTTGGTCTTGGCCATGGTGGAGTTTGGAGTGTGACTGTTTGAGGTTGTGGATAGGTGTCTTTTATACTGATAACGAGTTCAAACAGATGCCATTAATACAGGTAACGAGTGGAGGACAGAGGAGCCTCTTAAAGAAGAAGTTACAGGTCTGTGAGAGCCAGAAATCTTGCTTGTTTGTAGGTGACCAAATACTTATTTTACCGAGGAATTTACCAATTAATTCTTTAAAAATCCTACAATGTGATTTTCTGGATTTTTTTTCTCATTTTGTCTCTCATAGTTGAGGTATACCTATGATGAAAATTACAGGCCTCTCTCATCTTTTTAAGTGGGAGAACTTGCACAGTTGGTGGCTGACTAAATACTTTTTTGCCCCACTGTATATATAAATAGCTTTTTTAGTGAGTGTTTTATTTTTATTTTTAAATAATTTAATTTATTTCAGATAAAATATTTATATTGAATCATTTTCTTTTTAAAGTTTTATTTTGGTTTAAATATTTTTATTATTAGAAATGTTAGCAGACAGTCACTTGTAATTACACTTTTTAAAATACAAACATATAAATCTTACATTTTAACAAATAAACATGAAAAAAGAAAATGAAAATGAAAAAAAAAACAATACTCATGAAAATAATAATTGAACAAAAAATTAAATACATTTCCCCCCACCCAAAAACTTGATCCATAAGTGCTTTCCAGTGGTAAAAGTAGGTACTGAAGGCATAATAAACGTTTGTAGAAAGGAAATAAAAGGGGACCAAATTTTTTCAAAGAACAAAATCTTGTCTATTAGGGTATACCTGATTCTTTCCAGATGTAGTGAACCCGTCAAATCTGTCTGCCATAATTTAAGAGTTGGAACTTCTTTTTACTTCCAAATCAAAAGTATTTGTTTTTTTTGCAGAAATCAACTCATATGAAACAAACTGTTGTTGTACCTAAGTCTCAAAAATTCTTCGGAAACTCCAAATATAATTAATATAGGATCTGGTTCAATTCAGATGCATCTGTTCAATGTATCTGAAAAAAACTTGGGATATTTTGTTCCAGAAACTCTGTAATTTGGGACACAAGACATAGCAATGAGACAGGCTGGAATCAAAAACTGACATTTGTCACACAATGGAGACACTTCTGGAAATATAATGTTTTATTTTAAAATTGATTTTGACAAACAAAATATGTAATAGTTTATACAAGTCTTTTATTTAGATTTTATTTTTTAAATTAATTTAATGTTTTGTTAGGATATTTACAGTTTTCTCAGCTGCTAACAGAATCTTCTCTTGTCACACAATTTCTCAAAGCTGACACTCAAACAGCAGAAGCACACACCAGATCTGCAAAACCATACACTAATTCTGTCTTTGACTCAGTTTTTAGTTTCATAAAACACTTTTAGCAAAACACAACACACAATTCTCTGTGTGACACACACAAATCTAACAGGAATTACAGTTTTTTTTCAATTGCTTACATACTAAAATTAAAACTTTCCCCCAATTAGCAAAACCTTACACTCAAGGAGCAAAACACCGGCCTAGATTTGCACAATTGTAAGCAAATTGTCAACTTCACACTTTTTGCAAAACATTGCACACAGTGATTTGCAAAACACTAAACACACTTGTATGCATTTGACACAGAAATTTATCATGATGTCATTTCCTTGCAATTTCAAAGCAAAGGCTTTCAAATGAACACACCCATGAACCAATTGGTTAAACACAGCCACCAGGTGTGCACACACACTGGTGCTTAATTGTAGACACTCCAATTAGGTTTAAGCACTATAAGAAAGCAACAGGTAAGTTCACCTGTCTTCAACAAAAATGGACGGTGTCAGAGGAAGAGGGAGAGTGCGGATGAGGGGGGGGGAATCCGGAGAGAACAAGGTGGAGGAAGAGGAAGAGGGAGAGGCTAAGGTAGCGGAAGAGGGAGAGGAAAAGGCCAAGGTAGAGGAAGAGGAAGAGGAAGAGGCCAAGGTAGAGGAAGAGGGAGAGGAAGAGGCCAAAGTAGAGGAGGAGGGAGAGGCCAAGGTAGGGGAAGAGGGAGAGGGAGAGAGAGAGGGAGAGGCCAAGGTAGAGGAAGAGGAAAAGGAAGAGGCCAAGGTAGAGGAAGAGGGAGAGTGCGGATGAGAGGGGGAATCTGGAGTGAACAAGGTGGAGGAAGAGGAAGAGGCCAAGGTAGAGGAAGAGGGAGAGGCCAAGGGAGAGGAAGAGGAAGAGGAAGAGGGAGAGGGAGGGGCCAAGGAAGAGGAATAGGCCAAGGTAGAGGAAGAGGCCAAAGTAGAGGAAGAGGGAGAGGCCAAGGAAGAGGGAGAGGGAGAGGGAGAGGAAGACCTGGAGGAGGGGTAGGACAAAGGACATGTACAAAGAAGAAGACAACCAAATCTGTGTAATGAAATTCGTGCTACAATTATGGACCATCTAATAAACCACGGGCTAACACTGAGGGAGGCTAGACTGAGAGTACAACCTAACCTAAGCAGGTACACGGTGACATCAATAGTTTGGACATTTCGTCAAGAGCACAGGTGAGAAACTTATCTTCTGTCAACAGAAAATCCATAGCTTACTGCATGTACTATATCAACAGTTTCGTGTATCATTTTACAGTAAGCTACATGTATTTTGTTTGGCCAACATAGGATTGAACGTCGAGAACACCAAGGAGGGTGGGGCCCCATATTCACACAGGAGCAAGAGAGAGAGAGAGATCATAAACCTCGTTTTGGCCAATAATGCAATCAGACTTTGATTTCAATAATGAAATTCAAGCCCATATTGTCAATGATCACCCAATTTTCAATAATGTCCCACAGGTCTCTCTGTCAACAATAGCCCATATCCTTAAAAAATATCAAGTTCTGATGAAACAACTGTATAAAGTGCCATTTGAAAGAAATTCAGACAGGGTGAAAGTCCTGCGGCGTGAATATGTGGTGATATGTTTTGTTCACTGACTGTAGTATTGTGTACTGCACACATAACCTTTTTACTCTACATGTAATTTTACTGTATAGCAGACCTACAGTACATTGATCTACACTCCTCCTTTGTATCCTTCCGGAGCTCCTCCGTGAGACTCGAGACCGGTGAGTGGCGCAGGTGTCGCGCATTCACAATTACTCCACCGGCCTCGCTCTGTTCCCACGGCTCTCGGCCCCGCCTCTCTCGTCAAAAACACCCACCCCTTAAACCCCATAATTTCACTTCTGCCGTGCCCCCACTTTCACCAACTGCTTCCTTGCAAAATTGTGAGCGACTTCCAATGAGTTCTGAAGAGTTCTAGCAAACTCAGGGCCCGGGGGCACAGCAGGTGCATCAGGTGGCCTCCCAAAAACCATTTCTCCTGGTGTTCTGATCTCGCGCCCCAACATCAAAAGGGCAGGTGTGCAAGAGGTTGAGTCTTGCACAGCAGATCGTCATGCCATTAGAATGAACGGCAAGTGCCTGTCCCCATCTCATTGATGTTTAGCAGTCACAATGACCAGCTGTGCTGCCAGGGTCCTATTAAACCTCTCTACGAGGCCGTCGCTTTGAGGGTGCAAAGGGGTGGTTCTGGTTTTGTGGATCCCCAATTTGTCACACATTACCGTGAAGACACGTGGCTCAAAGTTTCGGTCCTTGGTCACTATGTACCGATTCTGCTACCCCGAAGCGGCAGAACATGCCATCTACCAATGCGTCTACCACTGTCTCGGCTTCTTGGTCAGGCAGTGCGTAAGCTTCTGGCCATTTAGGGAAATAATCCA